CCATGTTAGCAAAATTAAGACTTTCATAACCACTACTGACTGCAGTTGGCTCCTGATCTGACTACAGATAAATTTATTAACTTTGTAATTTTTCATAGTACTGTTACTATTTTGACACCCAGTTATAAAACTAGCTTTCTATACTGTGCTTTTTTTCTAGAGCCATCAGTTATGCTATCATTTTTCCACCAAACTTACTGCTAGACTATAAATATTTCTACCACGGTTAGGACTTTCAGTAGCTGAGCAGCTTTTATTTCTAGCACATGAAATAACTAAAAACCTGTAGCAACATTATTTTACCGCTAGATGGGGCTTGTGCACAGGTAATGTGAAATATGTGCAGTCTGAAGTGGAGAGAACTGGTTGCTGGGAGAAAAATGAAGAGGACAAATATCGTGAGATGTTAAGAAGAGATTTTTAAAATTGAATTTAGCAGCATTACAGAAGCAAAGCTGCCACAAAGCAAAAGCTCAGGATGCTTTTTAATTATCAATAAAATGATAGTGAAATTCTTATTAATTCATTTCATATTCAGAGGAGGTGGTTGGTTAGTAAGGCAAACAAAAACAATTAACAGGTGAAGGTCTATTATACGCAAATAATTTGACTTTGTGGAAGTTGCTTTAACTCCTGGAACTTGCTTTTTTTCATGTGTTAAAAAATGGAGCCATTAGACTAATGGGTGGTCTAAACCACCCACTGTGGGTGCTTTAGGAGGGGCTTGGTTGCTCTCACTAGGTTGCTAAATTTCCCAAATAGGGCTCAAACTTTCCATCCTCCTGTCTCAGCCTCTTAAGAGCCTTGGGATTATGGGCCTGTACCACCACACCTGCTCCCCATCTTCTTTAACAAGAACCTCTAGTTCAATGCATATCTTGTATCTAGCTTAAGGAGGACTTAAAAGGTCTGGTCCCGCCACTAGCTCATCCTAGAGTGAACCCCAAGATTACCTCTAGATTTGAATTCTCTTTGTATTATTTTTGCACGGGTAGGCGACAATACATGGACATATTAACTCCTGGAAACTAATTACAGCAGAAAATCACAATGTGAAATAATGCATACATTGTTATATTAGCCTGCTTGGAAATTAGACAAAACCCAATGAATGAGGAAGGAAAATTAAAGAGACAATTAAGGGGCTGGGGATTTAGCTCAGTGGTTCTGGCACCTGTCCTGCAAGTGGAAGGACCTGAGTTCGATCCCCAGTACCAAAAAAACAAAAGAACTAAAAAACAAAAACAACGAGACAATTAAACCAGAGATTTTGATTAGGTAGTATTTGGGGAAAAAAAAGGATAACACATTATAACTTAATGAGAAATAAGGAATGCTATTTAAATACTCTGAAGAATTTAACCTTCCTCTGCCTTTTGATTTTTAATATTGCAGTTACTCTTAACAACTAAGACAAAGCTCTCCATATAATTTAGAGGTATATGAGACCAAATATACAAAGAAAATGATGGCTTACCAATAGATATTTATATATTTGACAATGTATCTTTTTAAGTCAGTGAAGTTCGTATATGCATGAAACCATCCTGAAAAATATTCCTGCTGAAGCCCATTAAGTTACTGTTCAAAAATACATTACTTTATAAAAATCATGTTTATGTAAAAATGAGTTTCTAAGATATATCAAATATAGAATGGAAAATATAAAAAAATAAAAAACTATTTTCTTCCTAATCTCAATATCTAATAAATTGACCCAAATTGTTGGTTTCATTAAATATTTCACTAAATATTTACTAAGTATCAATAAATATCACTTTTTCTTCCCTTAGGGGGTTAATATGTTTCAGAAAAAAACAACTGACAGCCACAATCTTCTTGATTTCTTTCCCCACAAATAGTTAATCTGTTTTAAAAGAAGTCAACATGCCTTAGTTTCTGAGGAATAGCAAAATACTACTTTTTAATCATCTAACAAAATAGTACGTACAGTGGTTCCAATTTTGATTTTAAAATTAATATACTAGAAAGATGTACATTAAAATGCTGGTAGCCATCTTCCCTGATTATTTCCATTATTTTTCTTTGTTTTTTTTTTTTGAGATAAGGTCTTGCTATGTATTTCAGGCTGGCCTTGAACTCACAGTGATCCTCCTGCCTCCACCTCCCAAGTCCTGGGATTGCAGGTGTGTGCCACCACACCCACCTTGCTCTTCTGAATTTCCAACAAAGGACCAGAATTACTTTTGTATAATCAGGAAAACTTTATATTAACATCATTATATATTTTACATAAGAAAATATATGTTTCATTTTTACAAAAATGTAATGTGGTGTATTAATGAAATGTATTCATTTCATTTCTAAAAAAAATTATGAAGAATTCAACTTTCTTAAAAAGGTTATTTCCCTGTACAAGGACTCACTCTACTGGTGACAGAGAATATGCAGTATATTCTAGAATTTCTGAATTGCCTATTTTCCACAAACACTAGAGGGCAGTATTTTCAGTATCAAACTCAACTTCCTTCTATTTGTGTTTTTTCGTTTGTAGATATATTTCACTTGTGGATATAAATATATTTTGTATTTT